GTAACTTGTTCCATTCATCCACTACTATGTTTCCAAACCAGTGTTTACCTATTTCACGCCTAAATCACGCCTGCACAAGTGTGGGACAGTAGATGATTTCACTATTTTCTCAGGAGCACATGTGGCCTCTATTGGGGAAATGATGCGGACACTACTGTTGCTAACACTTGCGTCTACTTGTTCACCACGGGGTTGATAACAATGCTACCGTTGGTGTAGATGCACGTGAGGTAGCCCCGTGAGGTAGCCCCGTGAGGTAGCCACGTGAGGTAGCCCGTGAGGTAGCCCCGTGAGGTAGCCAGTTACCTCACGTGGGGGTAGAGAATGTAAATAACACATGGGTGGTCAGTCGTGTGTTGGTTTATGGACAATAATTTATGATACGATTGTGAACATTTGGCGCCACACTTCTCGGTGTCTTCAAAATGTAAATAACATTTTCGATTTCAATGATTTAATTATAGGCTACAAGTGAGAACACACACACACACACACACACACACACACACACACACACACACACCATCATCAATCTCCAGCCTTTACTTCTCACTCCCAGTCAAATCCACATTAATATAACAGGATAAAAATGGATCAGATTTGCAAGGGACGGGGAGATGAGATTCATTGAAACAACCAATATTCTCTCTGACGTCTCCCAGTGTGTGTGTGAGGTGAGGCTGGTTTATTTATGAGGAATCACCTGGACACTGAGCCATTACACACTAGGAATTGAGCCAGAAATTGAAGGGACATGATGATTTATTTACTTTTAAATGGTATTCACTTAGATAATTAAAACAAAAGGTCATTATCTCGATTTTCATCCCTTGCAATGCCATTATACCTTACAAACTCCATAATTCAGTGTTCAATACTCTTATACGGTGTTCCATTGAGAGAACACAGAAGTTTACAAATTCTTTTTCTTTAGATTAAGCACAGTTAGTCTTTTGATTACTTAACCCTTTTGAGTATGATGACTTAACCCCTTGACTACGATGGCTTAACCCCTAGACTACGATGATTTAACCCTTGAGTATGATGACTTAACCCCTAGACTACGATGATTTAACCCATTGAACACTATGACTTAACCCCTTGACTACGACGATTTAACTCCTAGAATATTCTGATTTTGCCCCTTGACTACGATGACTTAACCCCTTAACTACAATGAGTTAAACCTTGAAAACGATGTATTAGATAATTGAATACGACGATTTAAACCCCTTGAGTATGGTGATTTAACCCAGAAACTGCTATGATATAACCCCTTGATTACAGTGAGTTAATACCGTGACAACGATGACTTAACCCCTAGACTATGATGATTTAACCCTCTTGAGTTCCATGATTTGAACGCTTGAGTACTATACCCGAAGCCCTGAATACAATATTATCATACATAAGAATTTAATTTACGGTAAAAGGTTTTCAATTGGGATGATAAAAAAGTTCCCAAACTTTATTCTCCAGCGTTAGCAATCTATCCCAATGGACTTGACTCACTGTATCAAGGAGCGTGAAGTAAGGTGTCTTTTTTTTTTCCAACACTACTCGTCATTTCAGTCACCGCTCCCGGATCGTGGTGGGAGATCAAATGAATAGTGAAAGCTGCCTGGGGAAGGGCGGGGGTATGCTCTTAACCCTCGTCCTGAAAGACTGTTTCCACTCGGTATCAGTGGTCCGCCGGCAAGATGGTCGCTTTATTTATTTCGATCCGACGCTCCGCCCCGCCCACTCCACCGACTACCTGGCCCGTCACAATATTTCTCAGCAGAATGTAACTGTGGTGAAGGCCTTTATCCAACGGCCTGGGTACAGGAGCTGCGCCTACCACGCCATCTCCTTCCTCGATTACGCCACCTCATTCGGTCCCCGTGACTCCTGGCTTTTAATAAAATATTATAAAGATCACCTGTGAACCTTCACCGACCTTACCGTTATCCGCCGTGTGCAATTCCTCTTGACCGAGTTCGTTAACGACGTCAACCTCTCCGTTAAGGCCACATCGGGGGACCACTGCGTCATGCACGACTTCGTTCCTGCACAACGATCATCTGTCCGGCCGAACTGAATCTTCCCACAAGTTCACCCATCCTACACAACGACCAGCTCCGTCAACTGCACAAGTCCTTACCCAAGTTAAACCCATCCTGTACAAAGACCAGCTAACCACGCACGCACGCACACACACACGCACGCACACACACACACACACACACACACACACACACAGGGAGACAGCATTATTCATTCCACAGTATGACGCCTAGTTTTTTTCCCCTCTCGGAGAAATGCGAATGTTAGATTAATGAGGCAATTTAGTGGTCGGAGCACTTTTCTCGGTCTCCTGGAATTATTAATGACTGGGTGAGGAAACACTGACCAGAGGAGAGGTCAGCAGATCCCGTCGTGGTGGAGTCTGTCATAAAGTTAACTACCTCGATTTTATTTCAACATTTTTAATTAATCTGATTAGTCTTTCGATTTTCCACCAGTCAGTCGGTCGGTCGGTCGATCTGTTAGTCGGTCAGTCTGTCGGTCAGTCGGTCGGGCAGTCTGTCAGTCGATTGGGCAGTCGGTTAGTCGGTTGGGCAGTCGGTTAGTCGGTCTGTCGGTCGGTCTAATAAATACACAACGGAGAAGATTAAATAGGGTTCTTAAATTTAAAAGACATAAATACAATGTAAACAAATACATTTTTATATACAAACATAAGTGTTTTTGTTACATAAAAAGTGATGACCCCCACAAGGCAGCAGCCCGACACTGTACCTGTACTCTCCCGCCCTACACTTCCCCCAACTGTAACGTGAGATACTCCTTCTGCAGCTGGATGGACCTCTTCAACATAACACTGACCTAAACACTCAAACCTCCACAACATGACACTGACGTCCCCAACATGACACTGTCCTAAACACTCAAACATTAACAATATGACACAGACCTCCACAACATAACACTGTCCTTAACACCCAATCCTCCACAACATGACACTGACCTCCACAACATGACACTGATCTCCGCAACATGACACTGACCTAAACACTCACGACACTCTTTACACATTCTAGCTTCTCCACAAAACACAGATTGGCTCAACAGTTTTATGGAAGAAAGAACATAATTTATTACCGTATAAAGGATAGAAAAAAAGAAAGAAAGAAAGTGAGATAGTGAGAGAGGCGACTACTACGGCTCCTGGTGATTGTCTCTCTTCACTTTTTATAACTGTATTGGCTCGTTGGAGTTTTTTACCCGGGTGATAACGACGCTACAAAACGTGGCAATACGGGCGGTAAAAAAACTCACACGAGAAGAACAACATCTCTTTAAAGTTGATTATGTACACAGTGTGGTGGCGGCAGTATCCATCATGAGGCTGAATTGGTTAAAGTTACTCTTGTGGGTAATGAGTGAATGGATGGGTCTTGTTTATATGATGTAATTTGCTGTTTTATTTTGATTGAAGCTATAATGTTGTTTGTTGTGATAATGCAATTTAACTATTTAGGTTTAGGTGAGGTGAGGTGACGTGAGGTGAGAGGAGATGAGGTGACGTCAGGTGAGGTTTTTCCATCATATTTTTTTATTCTTGGTGGACTACCGTGTAATCACTAACCTCGTTATACTCATAAAGACCATAGTTGTTGAAGCGCAGTAATAATATCGTAACGTCAAAAACAGTTTAGGTTAGATGAAATTTTCGAAAAAAAAAAAGTTTATACAAATTATTGATATACTGTATAGCAATTTTCTATATTCCTATGAGGGGCAACACCTGTGGTTAGTTAGGTACAGGTGAGCCTTACCCTCGTTAAGGATGATAAATACTGTATGACGCCCACAGGTATCACCCTCACCTCCACCACGCCCCTTGACACATGACCTATTAAGTAATGTATAGGCGGACGCAAGAGTTATAAAGACTGTATGAGAACACACACACGCACACACACACACACACGCACCACAATACACCACACACACACACACACACACACACACACACACACACACACACACACACACACGCACCACACACACACACACCACACACACACACACACACACACACACACACACACACACACACACACACACACACACACACACACACACACCAATTCCACCCTCCCATACACAAACTTTGTCTATAACTCTTATAATCTTCTTCAATCCTTTTTATATTATTGCCTGGCCCCTATTCTATTTTTCTCCCCTCACCCCTCCCCACATCCTTTCGTTCTCACACTCTTATTCATTGACACCTCACACTCTGCCTCCCACACCCGCTCCCCCTCACATCATCCTGTACGCTACATAATTCAGTCTATTCTACACTATTCAATATATCCCCGAGACCATTATTTTGTGTCACTTGTGGGCATTAATTCTGTTTAGGGGGACTAAATTAAATCACATATAATGATATTTAACCTGGCAACTGAAAAATCACTTAGTTAAAACCACAATATCCCGGCAGACTGACTTAATAATGGAGAGTTTAGTTACGTTATTATCAGTATGGGTAGAAGGTGGGGGGGATAAGTGGGTTGTGGGGGGAGGAGGATGGTGGAAGGTGTGGGTGGTAGGGGATGTGAGTTGGGGAGTAAATTTTTTTTCTTTATTTTTACTTAATTTTTTTTCTTTTATGTGTGTGTGTGTGTGTGTGTGTGTGTGTGTGTGTGTAGTGAGTTGAATCAATGAACGAAGTGTACACATGTGTAGATGTACACTGAGTGAGTACACCATGTAGCGAGCGTGTACACAGTGTATACTAACTAACACAAACAGTAATAAATTAGAATGTATACAGATCAGGTAAACCAAACATGTATACAGACCAGGTAAACCAAGCATGTATACAGACCAGGTAAACCAAGCATGTATACAGATCAGGTAAACCAAGCATGTATACAGACCAGGTAAACCAAGCATGAAACAGACCAGGTAGCAACCAAGCATGTATACAGATCAGGTAAACCAAGATGTATGCCAGACTAGGTAAACCAAGCATGTATACAGCATTCAGGTAAACCAAGCGCCGTATACAGACCAGGTATTACCAAGCATGTATACAGATCAGGTAAAACCAAGCATGTATACAGATCAGGTGGAACCAAGCATGATACAGACCAGGTAAAACCAAGCATGTATACAGACCAAAACCAAGCATGATACAGATCAGTAAACTACATGTATACAGACTTCAGGTAAACCATGTATTTATTGGGAAGCAGACCAGGAAACTACATGTATACAGACCAGGTAAACCAAGCATGTATACAGACCAGGTAAACCAAGCATGTATACAGATCAGGTAAACCAAGCATGTATACAGACCAGGTAAACCAAGCATGTATACAGATCAGGTAAACCAAGCATGTATACAGACCAGGTAAACCATGTATGTATACAGACCAGGTAAACCAAGCATGTATACAGACCAGGTAAACCAAGCATGTATACAGATCAGGTAAACAAAGCATGATACAGACCAGGTAAACCAAGCATGTATACAGACCAGGTAAACCAAGCATGTATACAAACCAGGTAAATCCAAGCATGTATATATACAAACCAGGTAAACCAAGCATGTATACAGATCAGGTAAACCAAGCATGTATACAGATCAGGTAAACCAAGCATGTATACAGATCAGGTAAACCAAGCATGTATACAGATCAGGTAAGCCAAGCATGTATACAGACCAGGTAAACCAAGCATGTATACAGACCAGGTAAACCAAGCATGTATACAGACCAGATAAACCAAGCATGTATACAGATCAGGTATACAAATTCGGCTTTAACCAGCTGACAATGTTGGTGGGACGGAAGTACGGACGAACAAACTGACAGTTGGATGGACGGACAGGCAGACAAATTGACGGATGGATGAAATGGGTGGCATTCAACATAATCCAATCCCTTCAACAGACGTCATAAAAAATACAAATAAATAAATAAATAAATAAATATATAAACTATGTCATACAACAAGACCTGTAACTAAGTAAGAGTGCATTTTAACACAACCTGGGGAAGTCCTCCATTACCCTAATCAGCTGTGACAAACAAACACACACACATACACGAACAATTACATACATACGAGAACACACACACACACACACACACAAATAATAGGGGACACCAATTTAATTATGCTCTCTAATGGGACAGGTAGATATGTAGATAATCCCTCACTGAGTCTCTCCCTATTTTGCCTATTTTGTCGTGCAAAGTAATGACTTTTTAATTCGATCTCACGACAGTGCCGGGAGAAAATTGCCAATTTCGTTTAGTTTGCATGTATTATTTTTTAGGGGTTGGGGGGGTGGGGGGTGGGGGGAGGATGGAAGGAAGGAGGAGGAAGGAGGGGAAGGGAGGGGTTCGAAGGAGGGGAGGGGTTGGCGGGAGGAAGGGGGTTGGAAGGGGAGAGGTAAAGGGGAGGTGGAGGGGAAGGGGGAGGCAGAGGGGAGGAAGGGGATACAGAGAAAGGGAAAGGGAGAATGAAAAGGGAGAGGATGAAGGGAGTGGGAAGGGGAGGGAGGGGAATGGAAGGGAGAGATGGATGGAAGGGAAAGGAGAAGGAAGAGGGGGAGAATTTAAGTATTTATGTGAATAAATAATTATTAGTTTTTTCGTTGTTCATTGTTCATTTTTTTTACAAATATGAAGACTGTGACTGTACGTATCTGTCTGTCTGTCTGTCTGTCTGTCTGTCTCTATACCTTTCTATTTTTTATTCCTCTCTCTCTCTCTCTCTCTCTCTCTCCCATTGCCCAAATAATACCTGTAAATAAAGTAGCACCTTCAGGGGAATTCAGTGAAGATGATTCACCAGAGTACAAGTGGCAACAAAAACCAGAGTACAAGTGGCAACAAAAACCAGAGTACAAGTGGCAACAAAAACCAGAGTACAAGTGGCAACAAAAACCAGAGTACAAGTGGCAACAGAAACCAGAGTACAAGTGGCAACAAAAACCAGAGTACAAGTGGCAACAAAAACCAGAGTACAAGTGGCAACAAAAACCAGAGTACAAGTGGCAACAAAAACCAGAGTACAAGTGGCAACAGAAACCAGAGTACAAGTGGCAACAGAAACCAGAGTACAAGTGGCAACAAAAACCAGAGTACAAGTGGCAACAAAAACCAGAGTACAGAAGTAACAGAACCAGAGTATAAGTGGTAACAAAACCAGAGTACAAGTGGCAACAAAAACCAGAGTACAAGTGGCAACAGAAACCAGAGTACAAGTGGCAACAGAAACCAGAGTACATGTGGCAACAAAAACCAGAGTACATGTTGCAACAAAAACCAGAGTACAAGTGGCAACAGAAACCAGAGTACAAGTGGCAACAAAAACCAGAGTACAAGTGGCAACAGAAACCAGAGTACAAGTGGCAACAAAAACCAGAGTACAAGTGGCAACAGAAACCAGAGTACAAGTGGCAACAAAAACCAGAGTACATGTTGCAACAATACTCTGAGCTTAACTGATGACAAAAATATGAGTACAATTAGCAACAAAAACTAGAGTCCCAGCAAAAACCAGAGTACAGTCAGACCATAAATTATTTTTTTAACCCTTCCGTGTCAAACTCTATGACGAAAAGGCGAAAAAAAAATCCTTAAAGAAACTCTGGCGTTTGGGTTTACACAGAGGAAGGAAGGAAGGAAGGAAGGAAGGAAGGAAGGAAGGAAGGAAGGAAGGAAGGAAGGAAGGAAGGAAGGAAGGAAGGAAGGAAGGAAGGAAGGAAGGGAGGGAGGGAGGGAGGGAGGAAGAAAGAAGAAGAAAGAAAGAAAGAAAGAAAGAAAGAAAGCACAATAGTATCGTCAATCTAATTAATCTCAAAAACAATAATAATATCCTTAATTAGTTTATTTAAATGGGATATAATAGAACTACCAATTGCCCTATTCCCCTCGTGTCCAACTGCAATAGGGTTAAATGGGTGAGTTCAGTTTGGAACCCATCTGACCCAGGGGGGGTTAAAATTATTTATGGTCTGGCGATAGAAGTTACAAAAACCAGAGTACAATTGGTGAAAAACAGAGTACAAGTGGCAACGCAAATCTGAGTACGTGGTAACAAGAATCTTAGTACAAGTAGCAACATAAATCTGAATACAAGTCGTAATAAAAATCTGAGTACAAGTGGTAACAATAACCTGAATACAAGTTGCGACAAAAATCTGAGTACAAGTGTTAACAAGAGCCAGAGTACAAGTGGTGGTAAAAAATTAACCAGAGTACAAGTGGTAACAAAAACCAGAATACAAGTAGCGACAAAATCCAGAGTACAAGTGATTAAAAGCTATAGTACAAGTGTCTGCAAACCAGAGTACAGGTGTATAAAACCAGAGTACAAATTTCTAAAAAGAAAAAAAAAAGAAAAAAGGCGAAAAAATACCATTTTTTTCACCCAAGTTGACCCGTTCACAGTAACTCAGAGAAAGAGGTCATAAATATCAGAGGAGAGAGGAAGGCAGAGGAGGGAAGTAGGAAGAGGAAGAAAGGAGGAAGAGAGGAGGAGGAGGTGGGAAAGGGGAGAAAGGAAAAAAAAGAAAAGAGGGAGACAAGGAAAGAATGGGAAGAAAAGAGAAGGGGGAGAAAGAAAGGGAATGGAGGGAGGAGAAAAGGAAGGAAGGGGGAAAGAGAAGGTTAGGAGATAACTGTAAACTAGTAAAGAAACAAAGAGAGAGAGAGAGAGAGAGAGAGAGAGAGAGAGAGAGAGAGAGAGAGAGAGAGAGAGAGAGAGAGAGAGAGAGAGAGATGGGTCAACACAGGTCACTCAACATACCTAAAGGTCATTCCCTAGGTTAGAAGGCAGGTAAGGAGCCGGAGTATTATTGGGGAGGTGTCACAGGCTTCAGTAGGTGTGTAACGTGTTGACGGTCACGCACGCACACACACGCACACGCACACACACACACACACACACACACACACACACACCATACACTTACACATATACACACCAAACACACACACACACACACACACACGACACTTACATACACACACCAAACACTTACGCACGCACACACACACACACACACACACACACACAGAGCTGTCACCGGGTTCCTCCACAACCTTACCCCCCAAAAAAATTCCTTTACTCTGACTCAACAATTCCTACGCACCACCAACAATCACTGTTTACAGGCGCTCCTCTGACCGTTCATTAGATCTGGAATCCAATAATTTCCTGCACCAACGACTAATTTTCTCCGAATTTTCAAGCGAATGCGACAGAACTTTCCAAAAGTTGCTTGGCTCTTGCCGGAGGGGTGACATACCTAATTGTGTGTTGGGTCTTAATTCTCCTGGATATATAATCTCATTCTCCCGATTGGTTACGTTACTGTGAATATTGAGATAAATTCTGGGTTTTTCAAATTCAATATAATTACGGTAATGTCAGATATCTCAAGTAGTGACGGTTCAATTGGAGTAAAAACAATTATTTTATCAATCCTTTAGAATATGTTAGTTCTGGGGTTTTATATTGGATGGTTGAGGGTAGAATTGGATATGTAGTCGTTTACTTTGTCTCTACCAGTTGATTAAAGTTGACGAGCGTGGGATGTTGAAGGACATGTGTGTGTGTGTGTGTGTGTGTGTGTGTTTTATTGATGACAGAAGTATTCAGAATGTCTATTTTTGTTTCACTGTTATTTAAGTGACTAAAATTATTCAGAATATTAGATTTTCTTTTGTTAGGTTTCAGATTTTGTGTTTATTTTTTTTAATCAATTGTATAGAATTAAAGGGCGTTTGGTCTAGCACCTAAGGTAATACAACCCGAACGTATATTATTTAAAACAAGATGGACACGAAGGTTAACTCCCGAAAATTACTTGCACGTAAAGGTTAACCAAAAATATTTGAGAAAAGCCAGCACGATAGATCCACATGAACACACGGACATGGGTGGCACTACATGACGTACACACGGAGATGGGTGGCACTACATGACGTACACACGGACGTGGGTGCCAGTACATAACGAAAACACGGACACACCCAGGGCGGGATAGGGGAAAAATTTATTACAAACAGAAAGTTCCATAATCTGTTTCGCTAACCTTGAATTCGTTATCCAATAAATCAGATAAACTTACTATCTCGTTGAACTCATTTCGTTATCAACACATCTCCTCTAAAGTCTCGTTTATCTTCATTTCGTTACCTAGCGAATGTGTCTCTCCAATCTAGACTTCGTTATCTTTCTCATCTACTGTTTCGTTCATCTCAAACTCGTTAACTATCGAACCCGTCTCACCAATTCTCGTTCACCATGTATTCGTTACCTAGCACACCTGCCTGACCTCCACTCTCAAGTTTTCGTTAACAAGCTAAAAAAAATATAATAATAACAAATAATCTGATTTTAAGAGATTTTGATCATGAATGAGGCCCCAGATTCACAAAAATACCCTGTTAGTTTTTTTTTTCTCGTAACAGATGGTAAATGGACGCAGCCTATGTACTTAAAGGTAGAGTCTCAGTGTAAATATGAAGCCATTTTGGATATTTTTGCTTGTTTAAATTCACTCTGTGTGTGTGTGTGTGTGTGTGTGTGTGTGTGTGTGTGTGTGTGTGTGTGTGTTAGGAAGCATTTGACATGGGAGTATTTATATATCTTGTACTTGAATGCAAATAACTTGTGTAAAAGAACAAATCGTGAATTATTACACAGAATAACACGAATCAATAACACATCAATAACTTACATAAATAAAAGTAATTAATAACAGATATAACAGTAATAACACATAACACTAATTAATAAAACATTAATAACAATAATAACACGCTCATAACACTTACTTATAACACAAGTAACACACACTAATTACACTTAATTAACAGTAATAACACAACAAATAATGACACAAAAATAACATTAATAACACATAACATCAATAAATAACACAGACATAACACGTAATTTACAATAATAACCCATAACATTAATAACATAACACACTACATAGATAACATACAATAACACTAATTCATAACATCAACTGTATAACACGTATGAATAACGCCTTGCCTAACACCCCCATCCAATAACATAACTCAGTCTCGGGGTCACGTCTTCTGAACTACATGTGATGCAACAAAAAAAATTACCTTTAAAATACGAAAGCACAAAAAAAAAAATCCCATAAGAATAACAGTAATCTTATTGCCCCGTAGCATGACAGGATATTGAACTGTTGTTATCCAGTCATGTAGTAGTTTTATGACTGTAAAGCGTGTTGTTGACTGGTAATTTAGATTTGTTAGTGATAATATGTAGTGATTTTATGATTGTACTGTGTTAAGGGCAATTGCTGTCACCACAATCATCACCAATCACTAACATTTTGGTCTTTGGTGCTGTTTTGTGGCTGGTGAGGTATTGTAACTCTAGTGAGGTATTGTAACTCGAGTGATGTATTGTAAATCGTCAAGTGATGTATTGTAAATCGTAACTCTGTTTTATCTGAACGAACACAACGGCCAATCACGTGACAGCAACTGATTCTCAACCATCAGTTATTGTTCATTCTTGTTTATCTACTGTCGTTCGTTGAAGGTGAACAGGAAAGTGTAAGAACTGGAGGGAATAAAGAAGGTCAGGGAGAAATAACGTATAGGTAGTGAGAGAAACAAGATGTAACACACACACACACACACACCCACACACATGCATGCACACACACACACACACACACACACAGGTAAAGATTCTGGTTCGGTTGTCTGTCACTCTGTCTGTATGGTTACTTGTTTGGTGTTCGTCAGTTGACGGCTTCTCTGTCTCCCCTGGTGCCTGTAAGCTTATCTATCTGTCTGCCTGAAATCTGCTTTACACATCCCAAAAATAATCTGCCTAGCGAAATCCGGACAAGAACGACCTCTAAACACTATCTTATTCACAACATAAGAAAAAAATATATGTAGATTCGCAACTTTTAAATTAACTAAAGGAACGACGTCTTAAATATGGTAAAAATAATAACGTCTCCAGCCAACCATACCACCAAACCCTCCCCGCACTCCTTCCCCCTCCCTACACCAACACACCCCTACACACCCTCCACCAGCACACCCCTACACACCCTCCACCAACACACCCCTACACACCCTCCACCAGCACACCCCTACACACCCTCCACCAACACCCCTCCCACATCCCTACCTCCCACCAACTAGTTTATAAACGAAAGAAAATGTGTTAAGATTCACGACTTTCAAATTTGCTAAAAGAAATGCCTCCTAAAAATGCCACACGTGACGCTCAAGCTACAGCGACACGACCCGGTAAGGAAAATGTTATAAACGCCGCGAGAGTAACATAAATTTGCCTAATATGTTAATTGACTTATATAGGGCGGGTTATATGCGGGTAATACGGTGATAAATTGAATCCAGAGACCAAGAGAGGTGAAACATGGGAGGGAAATGACATGTTAACTTAGTTTCTCCTGGGATGTGGG